TAAACGATTCATTCAATAATTTCAAGAATGTGTTGTATTATTAAATAATATACGTGTAAATGTGTTTAAAATAATTTGTTAATGTGTAATTTATGCCAGTGCAATATTAAATATAAGAGATAGGCATTTACTAGACTTTGTACAAAAGTCGTTAGCTTGAGCATCTCTGTACCATTCGTATTTCTATTGTGAAGCAGTTGTGTTTGCATGGCTGTGTTTCGGTTTGAAGGGTGAAATATGGCAGTGAAGTTACAGGCTACAGAGGTATAACACCTGAGTCCTCAGGAATGGCAACCCATTGGGAGTATCATGGGCGAAACAGTATACTTTGTCAGCTTATTTGCCATTTTAAGTTGCATAAAAAATGTGTATATATTAACTGCAATATATACAACAAAAAAGGTATATATAACAATGAATGCATTAAACTGTATACTATCTGGTTTTCATGGTACTACGTATCATCAATTCAGCCGTTAACTGTCCCCTGCTGAACATAAGCCTTCCCTATAAAGGGAGTTTTGCCGTATTTGGCAGGCGAGTTGGCACCCACAGTAAGGCTTTAGAGATGTTTTAAAAGGGTCGCTGCTGCCTATCCCTCTACCATTAAGTTCCTTTAGTTGCCTCTTATGACACTCACAGGAAAGGAAGGAGTGGCGTAATCTATGACGGAGCCACACGGCCATTTTTCTAATGAGTACTACGTATGTTTTTATGCAACTGTTATTACTTTACATTTTATGTATTGGAGAAAAAGGTCATCTGTGTAGATACATAGGCGACCTCTGTACATTATTTCCCCAGTGGCAGGTGGAATACATATATCTATATTTAAACCACCTGGTGTGGTATGGGCAGTGGAATTACAGGTTCACTCCCATAATTTCACTGCCCATAGCATAACTCCTTCATCATTATCATCTCAACCATGACCTGCCTACATAAATCTCCCCCATGGACTGCCATAATCTCTTAATTCTTAGAAAATGCAACTCATGAGGGGCATAGGATTATAGTGCATTCTGTGCTGCCCATGGCACCGTTAATGTTTAAAGGTGATAGTAATCACTCTCCATCAGGAAAACCGGCAACTTTTTTACCATTTTAAGTTGTATAAAAAGACATGTGTCTGAGCTATTTACCATTTCTAATTAGTAACTAATATAATAAACCAATCAATATAATAAATTGGCAATCGCTGTCTGACTATTCAATGACTGCAGGCAACTATACTAATTAGGAATGAATTAAAGTTCGAGCATTTCTTTATGCTGCAGTTTGAGAGCGATTTATAATTACTGTAGATTATAAACCACTCGAAATAGTGGCTATGGCTTATAAATAATATTCAAGTGCTTCAAACATTAAGATGTACCATAATCTTGTACACGATCCAATTTACCAACATAGTAAACGGCTACTTTCAATGCCGATTGCACATCTCTATAATTTATTTATACCATGTTTACTGTCATAAATATAAAATTAGACACGTTCGTACGCGAGTCTATTTATACAGATGGTAGTATTCCAAATCGGTGTCAAATACGATCATATTTCATTTTATAAATTATTTTAATCACCACCTCCTCTAATCTCTTTGTAAATTAGGGTTAAAAGTATTTTTTTAATTAATTTAGACTTTCATGTATCTGAGTATCAAATTTCATTCAATATCATTTAAATATGATTGAGTAATAAGTACCTAAATGTATATTAATCATCTTATTCATAATATTTGTTGATTTATAGTGACATAATATGATAAGTAAGATGACAGATAAGTTTTTTACAAAGATAGTTTAATGACCTATAAAAAATAAGTGCTCGACGATAATCCTTTCACACATCATTTAGTGACACCTAATTAGATATACTATCTCGATTTTAATTATTTTATAATTATATTTCTTTTCAGCTAAACAAAAGTTCTATGTTTGTTTTTAATAATCTGAGTAATTTCTATTTCTCGTTTAAATTAGTTGAATCGGTATCACGATTTTCATTTATTTTAAATCATTCAGTTATACAGTTTCATTATATACACTTATGAAGTCCGATTCGCAACAACATGGAATGGAATGTGCACTAAAAATAACCAGCCGTTTCGAGTTTCAGAGCACGAAGTGCGCGGAAGTAGGGCAAAACCACGTACAACTTAAGTTTTAAAGTTATAACCAATAAGTACAGATTAAACAAATAATGAAGTATAATATCCGTGTAGGTCCTGGCATAAAATAGGTCATCCCTTCCTTTCCCGTGGGTGTCGTAAGAGGCGACAAAGGGAGCTCATGGACGAGAGAGGGGCAGAAGCGTCCCTCTTAAAACAATATCACAAGCCAAACTGCAGTTGTCAACCCACTCGCCAAGCGAGCTAACAACTGACAAAACTCCTCTTATGGGAAAGACTATGTACATATGGTACATACATACATAAGGTGTTTATATATTGTGGTTTCGTTTCTTACAAGGTTAGTAAAAAGAGTGTACATAAAAACTGTACAAATAACATCAATTTCAATCATGAAAATTTTAATACAAAATGAATTCAAAATGAATGAAAAATCAGATATTCCCCAAAATTGCATAAGATGACGCGTTATAATACAAAATGAAATACAGATGAATTTATTAAAATTTTTGTTTCGCTGTGTTTAATTTTATTGTTTAATTAATTATTAATTAATGTTTATTATTAGGACATTGTCTACGAAGTAGGTCGGCAGTGTAAAATAAACAAATGAAGTTATTAAATGACTTAAATGTCATAAATAATAATACAATTTACGGTAATTGCAATACCAAATTATTTTTTTTTATTAAGGAACATTATTTTGAATAAAATCTATTACGCACTAAACTCATTAGACAAACGTGCTAAGCTCTGAAAGTTCATGCATGGCGTATATAAGTTTATATATTATATTTACAATTGTAAAATTAACTTTGTTGAAAAAAGCAACAGTTAAGTTTCTTGCTTGTTCTTCTTGACTAAAATTGCATTCCGAATGGGCGGAAGGATAATAAAAAATGACTATTCAGTAATACTTGTAATTAAGTTTACGTGAATAAAAGAAATCAAATTTTTATTCTAAAACAAAAAAAAATGTAGTAAACTATAGAAATGTAATTTAAGATTGTGTTCAGAAAAAAAAGCATCAACTGTGGGAAAATCAGTTATTTTGATTGAAAACTAAACTATTGAACTTTGCTAAAATTTCTATAGGATCAATCTGTATATAAGTACAATATAAAAAAAAAAGTTTTTTCAAAATCAGTTTATAACTAACGAAGTTATAAGGTAACAAACATTAAAAATACAATCGAATTGAAAAACTCCTTCTTTTTTAAGTCAGTTTAAAATTCGTTTTATTATCCACATCTTAGAAATATACTCGTATCACTTATTACATTTTAAATGAAATTCAACAAAGACATTCGTTAAATTTATATAAAACGTTCATGAATTTTATTTGTAGCACACTAAATAGGTATTTTTATATTTTCACCGTAGTAAATATGATACTATTTGAAGCCTTAATTAATGTTTTTGTAATAATAACTCTTAATACGAATGCAGTAGAGTAGAAATAGCAAGACAATAGGTTAGTTTATATCAAAACCGTTCCCGGGTATTATGTTTGTAAAACAATTGAATACATATTATTTCTATTGTTTCATATAATATACAACTCGATGTGTGCTGTTAGCTTCATTAATATTTCAATATTAATTTCAATTTTAAATAATCATTATATTTTGGGTCGGGCAAACAGTGTTTAGCGGTCATTAATCACATCATTCAATATTTCATTACAATAATAATTTGGTATTCAAATAATGTATAAAGGATTGCCCATTAACATTCCAGCGTTGGGCATGGATTTTTTCCATAAAGAAATTAGTTTGTCATTGCTGTAAGCGTATAATATGCTAGTTAGGACTAGGGTTTAGTCATGGATTTTTCTCTTTACTATCCGTTGGTAAAGCTGCATGTATAAATTTTATTTTTGTTTTGGAATGATTCAGAGAAACTAAACAGGACATACAATAGATTTCCATTTGAATATAGTTCTTTGTAATCTATATTTATATATCATCGTTAACTGTGAATTGATTTTGCATGTTGTTATTTTAAAGGTCTCTGCTCTGTAAACACCACGTATTGATTTTGTCGAGATTGAAATATGTTTTTTGTAAAAAAAATATGAAGTTAGATAATAACAGATAGATAAAATAACTATACGCGTCTTCAACACAAATAAAATTACAATTGCAACTGAAACGTTAAACAACAGTACCCAAAAAACACCTGAACATGTATGCCGTAGCAATACAAAATGATTCATAGTTCAGTATGAAGTATTAATTTGGGAATAAAACACTGTATTTCAGCAATGACCGTGAGAAGGAATTCGAAATTCAAACAAAAAAGGAATTGACAAGATTTGATCCTCCACTATCATTTTCTGTTATCGCAATTTTATTTTTCTAGTAAGGTCTTTAACAAAATTGGCAACAAGCATTTTGATCTCTTACCAACATTGCATTTTACAAAGTAGACGGGAGTCATACACTAGGACCCCTAGGTAAATCTAAATAACTCTTAGTTAAATGTGAACTTTAATAGAAAGCAGGCAACTAATCTTACTTCTTACTACTGTAATAAAATTGTAACTAGACAATGTTTGTACATGAGAGATATTTAATATAAATTAGTTCTATTTGTCTGTTTATATGTTTGTTCAGGAATCGTACAAAAATTATTGCACTAAATGTAAAATGGTGTTCACAGTTGTATTTCTAAAGGTATCGTTTATAATTTGGCGTATGTTTTATATTGGCGTATTCACCACTATATAAGCTATTCGTTATTTCCAAAATCCACGCATATGAAGTTACAATATATTTTTGGAAATCTAACTATTCGTTAAATACAACAACTAAGTTTTTAGATTCTTTTTATAATTCTATATATAGTAGTAGGAAAAAGTACTTACATCTTCAGATAATTCGTCCTCTTCGAAGGCGGATGACAAAGGCCTGCCTCTCTGGGCACGGCCTCCCCTCGAGTCAAACAGTTCATCATGGTGAGTCTCGGTATCATCTAGGGCACTTCTGATCCTGTTCTCCACATCCGCCCGGATTCGCTCGCGGTCGACCTCAGGGGTGCGAGTGATGGGTCCCTTCCCATCCAGCCGGTCGAGAACGGGGCGGTAGTAGCTCTCGCCCTTGTTGTAGTTACAGTCGTACACACGGGTGCGACGAGTCCTGCCTATGCGACTCATTTTGGACCTGTAGATTGTATCATTATGTCAATTACTAATTTGCGTAAAGCACTTAAATGTAGGAATGGAAGATAATAGAAAGTATGAGCTGGAAATAAAAAAATTACGGGATAAGAATACTAATAAAAATATATGAGAATAGAAGAGGCAAGAGTTTTCGCCACTTTATACGACAAAACAACTTCATAGAGAACATTTTAGAAGAATATATGTATGTTCTTTTATTCAGCGCGCTTCACGGCTGTGTCGCAGTAGTATTATGCGAGCACCGCATATATCTAATATTCTATCACAATCACAATTCGAAAAAGATAATAAAGATAAATAAAATGTCTTGAACATATATAAACTAAATACGCCTCATATTATGGCTATATACAAGTGTCTTACATTTATGATATTTTATGTACATGAGAACCAAAATTTTCTAAATTGGTTGGGGTCTGAGAAGTATTCGTCTCTGAGTAACATTTTTTTTGAGCAAATAAGATTCTTATAGATTTTTTTACTTTTTTCGCTTAATATAGAATATAAAAAAATCCTCAATGAGCTATGCTTCTAGTGGTGAAATTAATAATAAAACAAAGTAAAAAAAAATATTTTCTGAAACACATGCTGAAAAAGTGAATTCCTATACAAACTTTGAATTCCAATATCAAAAGCTTAGAGAATGTTTTTCTTAATATACTGAAACACATGTCTGAGTAAGACGTTATCGAAGCCTATCAATGCCAGTAACAACAGACTGTCTGTTTATGAGAAACGTGCTGGTAGGTATTAGACTTAGTTGTGAGATCTTGAAATATTTTCTTATTTTGAATATTTATAACCACAAAATATTCTGTTTATTAAACCTCACTGTTGTTTGGAGCAACCATTTACAAATTAATTATATTTCTTTAAAAGATTCTCAGGAGCTTGGAAAAGCTGACGTTTGACCGGATGGAATAAGGTGTTCGTGGTAACAGACACGAACAGCACCATGAAACTGACGGAGGAATAAATGTTTTGTGTATAATCACAGTTTAAGTAATTATTATTTCATATTACAGCTACTCACTGCCCCTCCTCGAACTGACCTCCACTCATTCACTCAAGTTACCAATTGCAAAAGACTTTACCACGATCCGCTCTTTCCTGCCGTGAGCCAGAGAAGATAAAATATTTATGACGTAATTATGATTTAGTATTTATGTATAGTGTATCTATAGGTATGCTTCATAATGCAATCATCAGAAGACAGTGCATACAAGAGCGGACAGGTGGGATAGGGTTTACGTGTTTACTGTGTATGCGTCACTGAAGAGGCGTCACGTTTTTTGGCAGAGTACGGTTTAGTGTGTTTTCTGTTATTGATATAATGAATCAACGAATTAAAATATTCATTGAAAATTAAATAGGTGTCTTATTTATGTGGACACTGAAAATCGTGATTTTAATCATATGTGTTAAATAGATATTAATTGTATAGTGCGCATGACCAGCAAGCATATACATGTTTTCTGGTCAGAAAGGAAGTTCACATTCAATCCCATTTGATGACAAATGGTTACCTATTCCTATATAGACCAATATATATAGAATACCAATTAATTTCAGGGGGGCACATCTTGTTTTCTGTTTAGATTATTTATTAAACCGCTATCCTATTAAATTTCCCACTGTTTTGTATAGATCTTTTCTCATATGAGAAGCTAATTTATCTATTTTATACATACCAGCCAGGAGGCTTTTTAATTTATAAGTTTTTCATTCCTTTATTTGCACTATAGTATTTCCTAAGAATATCTATCTATGTATTAAAATTATCATTATATTATTATTTTATTATTATATAATATATATTATATATATAATTATATTATTATTATATAATAAAGTCACCAGTTTTTTAATGAAGTAATAAAAATAAATTCCCTTGACATATTTGTAGACTGACAGAATCTTCAAACTTAAGTAGGCTTTCTTCGTAATACTGGCAACGTCGGAATTACTTGACAAATTTCAAACGATTTTGAATATTTCTGAATGATAATTTAGCGGAAATACCTGAAAATACCGACGACTGATAAATTAATGTTTATATTGATAATAACAATACAAAGATGAGAGGTATTTTCCATAAAAATTATTTATTTAATTCCTATAATTATATAATTTTAGCTAGAAAGTTCAAGTAGAGAGAGTAAAGTTGTAGATACTGATATATGACTCAAAATGGTGACAGATGGAGGAAGGTCATAAAAAAAGTGGATCGGGTCGTGATCCACAGGAATGAGGGACTGATTAAAAGAGGTAAAGAGATTTCTAAATAATGAACTAACTATATACTTCCAAAAGAGGCAGATTAATATAAGTTATATGTACCTCTTTTATCAGAGGTGTCAATATGGTAGATATTGTAGGGTATTATCTGAAACTTGTTATTGTTAGTAATAACAGTCTCCATTGCTAGCAATACTCCCTATAAGGTTGACCTTAACGCGGTTCTCACTGGAAACAATCATGTTAATTTCTTCTCGAATTCGTCACGATGGGCCAAAGCGAAACCGAAAACATTGCATCGACAGAATAGGAAACTAGAATATGCCAAAGTCATATAGGGACCGACCTGAAATTAGAAACATCATCACAACGCCCAAGGTAAGATTGCCCATCAACGCTCAATCCTGGCTTACTAATCTACATAATATCCTGTACTGGATTCAGGCTAAATAGTTGGTCGATAATGGTCGGCCAGTTGCGGCTAGCCGATCATTCACTTCTACAACCTAGAGTAGGTCATCCCTAAAATTTATGCATTCCTGATGTGATAGTTTGATTGTAACAAGCTCGTCCTGGCTGGCAATGATGCATCAAGTTCAAGTTCAAGAATTCGTCACGATGGGCCAACTGTTCTGTTTGCATCCTAATCTAACATTTCTCACTAGTGTCCCGCTAACATATACAAATAACGAAACGCAGGAGGGTTACCATTCCATTTTTACTGATAAGAAAAAAAAGTCGCTCCTAAAAAACATGGGAACTATACACGATCAAATCTGCTGCTACAGATCCGCTATTTAAAACTTGACAGTATACGCCATCATAAAGCGTTATACTCTTGTATTGAAAGAACAATACATGCACTGTTGTTGTAAAGCAGAAAGAGGTTAACATGGTAATAACAAATATTACCTAACTATCCAGCCGATTCTCATAAAATTCTATTACTAATAAACTAATATATAAATTAAACAACCTTGTTGTAATTCATTAATGGGTTGGTTACTTAAATAAAAAAAAATCTTCCACCAATGGGTTATCAAAACATTAATATGTTTGTATAGCGATAAATTTTAATAGACTCGAGTACTTTCTCCTATAAATTGCTCTCAACAAATTGTTTATTTTTTTTCGCGTTCACCCCTTTTATTTCTATTCATTTATAATTATTGGTTTATTTTTCTTTTTATACCTTTTATTTGTAATCCTTTCGTAATTATAATAGTATTCAAAGCAATTTTATTACGTGTTTGTTTTCACTCTGCTGTAGATTGTTTGTTTAATCCAATCCATTTGTGTTTCTATTATATTTTTTTGTAAATAAAGTGAATGGCATTCCAATTTGGATGTTAAAATCAAAGTTAACCACATTTAGTATATTGTTTTCCGTCAATGTTTCAACTGATCGCGTAACATTCCTGTTCTTTCTGTTGTTTGCCTTGTTCCATTTTTTAATTCGTTAGTTTAGACAATTTTATCGTTATTACGTCAATGGAGTCATAAACAATCTGTCCATGAGATAAATAGCAGATGGAAGTTCTGTAAGTTTTAGAAGCAAATCGTAATAAGTGTGATGTCAAAAGATAATCATTTGTTTTAACGCCTAACAACAGAAATGTTATAAAAATAGAGGCAGTAGTTTTTAACAAGGCTAGTAACGCCCGTCCGATCTCCTGACGTACGAACGACTTTTACGAAGTTAACTTACACACAATAAAACAAGTCTTGGCAACAGACCGCTCAGTGAAACAGAACAAAAAAGTCTTTCAATGAAATTTATATAAACAAAATATTAGTGTTTACATAAATAAATTACAAAACCACATGTCTCCGATCACTGTGAACTAATTCGATTCATAGAACATTTCAAATTTACTCAATCGATATCGCCGCTAGTTCTTGATGGATTATCTTTCTCGCGCACCGACGCGTGCGTGGAATAGTGGAACAATTTGAAAATAGAATTCGCAAACATTCGATATGGGGATATTTTTAGTATCGAAAACCCGGTTTTTGTCCTCTCGACACGACGTATTGTAATATGCACTCTGATTCTTGAACGGGATAGCTAAAAATAATCATATAGGTATTCGATATTTGAACGCATATCAATATTAGTTACATCAGTATATTTGAAATTGGAATACGATAAAGAAAAATGAAATAAAAAAAAAGAAAATACTGTCGCGTAGCAGTGACAGTGAGGGGAATATAGTAATTCGCGAAAGCGCGAAAGCAATACGGAAGTATGTATTTATAATAAAGTTTGGACTAACCTGGTGCGTGTACAGGCGTCGAGAAGGGAGATGGGACTGTCCAGTTGGTGAGCGAGGAGCCGGCGTGCGGCGTGCGGGCAGCGTGGGCGAGACTATGTTTAACCGTGAGCCACACAGAAATATACTGACTTTTGTTACGAATGATTTCCTTGTCGGAAAAGCACTGTTTGCACCTTTTCAGGAAACGCATATTACACATACTCATTTTGTTACAAAACTATGCTACTAATTTTGTATTTTATTTAAAATTCTGAACTGTAAAATCATACCCAGAGAGAAACTTGATACGTAAAAGAACAACACAAGTGGAAGTTGTTATTAATTAAAACACGTTCAAAAGCAGGAAACGGATTCTATAATTTCTAAACAAGTGTGTTGTTGAGAGTACAGTTATTAGTACTACCTATTTATATGTATTAAAATTCTAACTAGAGGCAGTCAATACGTATATCGTAGATATTTTCGTTGGTTTGATAGAATAATTAATTTAATATGTATTTATTACCTCATTGTATTGTATATAAGATTACAGCTAATTTTGTAAAAACAATTGTCAAAATCAGTTTAGAATTGTCAAAGATATCGCATAATATACGTAAAAATAACATATGAAAAAAATCTGAACTGATAATCTTCTCCTTTTGATTTCTTTTTGTTTATTAAAGTATACATTATAAAGTTTTTTAGTACGGTTTTAGTAACGACGTTTTTAACCATCTTAAAAAAGAAGGAGGTGCTCAATTAAGTCGGAATTTATTTTTTACGTTTGTTATCTCAGAACTTCGTCAGTTCAAAGCCGACTCCGATAATTCTCTTTTTTAGTTGAAATGTTATATGTTCCATAGGTATTTTATCAGAATCGATTTAGTAGTTTAGTTTTAAAATAAAAATAACTGGTTTTGTCAGAATTGAAGTCGGTTTTATTTGCGGGACACAATCTTTAATTATTTAGATGTTGACTGTGAATCATGTTATTACAGAAATAAAGCGAAATATTCTTATAAGTTTTTTTTTACGTGGGGAAATCCTTATGGAGACCCTTGGGGAGGCATGTAGGTACTATCGGACTCTTACTGGCTAAAACCACCACGTGTTCCTCGGCTACGACTTACGGCAACATTGCTGCGGTTCCAGTTTATTACTGCTCCGCAACATCGCCAACGCCGTTGCTCAACCCCATTTTAAGGGAGGGGGAGCCCGCCCCTAGGAGCCGCCTAACTTTCAGTTCATCTCTGGAGGAGACGTGCCGAAACAAGATCACGTTCCCTGACTCGGAGGCCTCATTGCAGTGCACCGGACACCCCCGTGTTCAGCGCTTTCCCTCTTGAGAGGGCTGACTACGATTACGCTGTCGGCCCCGTTTTCTCCCGAGACTGCGAGTGAATTTGAAATTGGATCCTACTTCTGGTCCCGTTCCTCAGCTTCTTTTTGCTGCATGATCTGCTCGGAAAGGAACACCATCGCCTCCCAGGATTGTACAACGACCGCAACTCTATCTACATCTCAGAGTACCCCAATAGAGGATATAGTCCTGAGCATATTTACATATTAACTATTCGATATTTTACGTTATTATAATTTTACTATATTATAACTTTACTACATAAAATATGGAAAAACTGCATAGTTATTTTAAATTCTTAATAGCTTTAGTATCGATAAGTTACTTGTCATTTGGCAACCAATTTGGGTACTGATTTATATGTACTATATTTACTATTGTTTTAGTTATAATAAATGATTTTATTAACAGTTTCCATTATTTAATATAAACGTATGCAATGCAGAGGATAGGTGAAGACTATATTACTTCTTTGTATATCAATAGATGAAAATAAAATAGGAAATCTGCCTGCGCTGTCAGTTTACCAGCATGATACTAAGCAAGTAATGACAGATGAGGATGAAATAAGCCCCCATAGGCGAGGTATAAACGAATCAATCGATAGAATAGCTTTGGTCAACGCTTACATTAGAAAGATCAAAATAGCGTACGTTGCTGTCTCATTCTCTGTCGTGGGTTCGTTAGCGATAGCGATTCTATCAATAGATTCGTTTATAATTTATCCAAGGGGGCTAGTCAGTTAATTGTGATAAATTTGCAACGACGGATTCTAGGAGAATCACTTGGAGATTGACCTGAGAGTATATTGTATGCAATAGGGCTGTTAATCCTCATTATGAAAAGTCCTCTTTCCATCTACAGCAATAGGTATCTCTGAAGACTTTTAAACTCTTTTATTATTATCTAAATAGACTTTATATTTGTCCAACATAAACAAATTTCTTGATCAACTATAATTTCTATATATGAATTCAGAACTTGGCCGTATGATCTTAGTATTGAATAGGCTACCCCTTCCTTTACCATAGGTGTTGTAAAAGGCGACTAAAGAAAGGCAAGGAATGGGTAGCAGCGTCTCTCTTAAAACATCTCTAAAGCCTAACTGTGGTTGCCAATCTGTCTGACAAGCCTGGCAACAACTTCTTCTGTAGGCTTATGTTCAGCAGTGGACGGTTAAGGGTAGATATAAGGATGGGATATATATGATGGGGGTAGATATGACTTGGACGGCTCAATTGATTAAAAAAAGAAAAGTTTAGTTTCTTGCCCATTCTTCTCAGTTGAAATTGCAATCCAAATTGGATAGTAGAATCGTGAAATACTGGTACATTTTTTACTTTTTCTTCTTTAAGAGATTTTATAGATTACCATTTAGATCTTCAAGATATTGCTATATAAAGTAATCGACGTTATTAATCAAAGTTAACTTTCGTAGTTTACAACTTTCAACTTTTACTATAGTGTTAATTACTCTATCAAGTTTATGTTTGTTTCTTAATCAGACAGTATTAGGTATATCTTGGCAAGTAAACTTTATAGTAAGGTGTATCGTATTTTAGTCACCGATATATATGTGGCACAGACAAAGATTGCGTTTACTACATATTTCTGTATTTTATTTTTGTTACTCGCTTTTTGCCTGCTACTTCGCACGCGTGGATTTCAGAAGTACGAATTAAATATAATTAAAAATTGAATCTCACAAAAAATAAATCGACTTCATTTGTGATAAAACCAGATAATTTGATTTAAAAACTAAACTATTAAACGGATTTTGATCAAATTTTTATAGGACCAATCTATAAGTATGTTGTTTCAGATAAAACGTATTTTCCACATTGGTTTACAAGTGACGGAATTATGAGAACACAAACATATGAGCAGACAAAATTTTTAAAAAACATTTTTGGCCTTATTGAGACGCCTATGTGTGTAAAGACATCGTCTAGTTACAATTTTATTCTATTCGTAAGACTTTTTCTGAATAGCATATGAAATAAAAATGAAAATGAACTATAATAATGTGATAATTACACTGAATGCTGTGTAATTACACCACATTATTATTTTACCTTTACTATTAATATTACCTTCACGCTTATATTAAACATTTTGTAAATAAATATTGTATTTGTTACTTTATTTATTTACAAAATTTATCTACGTATCAATGGAAACAGAGCTAAATGTACACAAACTATGCCAGCGCTCAGAAGTCGCACCGCATTGCATATACTGTACACTATGTTACAATACAGACGGTAAATTAGCAAGTTAGTCCTTCTGTGCTACAAGCTTACACGGGATTCTCTTAGACGATATTGTCATTATTATAATAATAACTGAATTCTAGATTCCCACGTGAATTAGATTCCCAGACTTGTCCATATTAATTAGAACATAAAGTATTCTCGATGATATATTTATCTGTGCAGCAAATTTCTTTCTAATCATTGAGACATTTAAGCGTTAACGAGTAACACATTTCGAACAAACTTTCATATTTGTAATACAAATTTCACCTATGTGACAATGTTTCAATTGTGTGGTTCGAATGAATGACTGGGAATAAGTAGCTTACTTATGTATGTACATCACAAACACTATAATATGCATAATTTCGTAGCTATTGGTAGAGCAGACGCTAAGAAGTAACAAACAAAAACTCAATTTCACGATTATAAAATAATATATTTACGACTATTCCCTAATGGGGTACTTAGAAACATTAATCAATTGTTAGTCTTGCGGTAAACATATAAGCCGACCTCCCTTCAGTTTTTTCAGACCAAACATTTCCTCAAGATAACGGGAAGAAAATGAATAAAAAAAGCATAGGGTCGCAAAACTTGGAAGGCAATGACAGAGGCCTAAATCCAGCTGTAGATGGGGATAAGCTAATAATTAGTGAAGAAATGTCATTGTGGTGAATATACCAATCGACCACCACACGATTTCCATTACGTATCACCGAGGAAATTAGAGTCCAACGTGGCAGAGAGAGAGCCTATCGTTGTCACTTGGATTAATTTATCATGTTATTGTAATATTATATCATCAACGTTTTCCGGCACCGGAGGGTTGGTCAGACCTTTTATTTTTTGTGTCAAACTGATTTGAACTCATGACCTTTGACGTCTAGAAGTCGGTGTAGCATAATATGAAGCTTTGTTTGATTGTGATTTATAATTATGTTTGAAAACGTACCTACTAAACCTTATGGCTATGGTACTTTTGTGTTAAGCTTGAAGTGCAGCAACAAACCTCTGACAGCCTCAGGGTATATTTCCTCTGTAACTAATTAAGATTAAACGGAGTATGTCATGCAAATAACAGTGGATAAACAGTCGCTTCTATAGTTACAGTATTTGTTTGTAACCTGTGTTTATTAACTGTAAACAAGCTGAGTTGCTTTCATAGTTAAATCTATAGAAACTGTACTTGACATAGTTATCTAATAATGAAGCGCATAGCTAAATAACAAATAGATACAACACATGTTGTTTTTAATAAAAAAACTGTGACTTTATATGTCAAAGGTTGCAAGCATAGGCATTATTACGTTTTATGGTAAGTGCAGCCTATGAACGTTGGCAGCACGTTAGCTCGGAGTAGCGCAAGCAATCGCGTTTTCTGATCTTAGTTGTAAAGATCTTAAAATACCATACTATACCATATCAGCCAATAATTGTCCGCTGCTGAACATAAACCTCTTCCATAATTGGGAGGTTTTGTCAATAGTTGCTACGCTTGGCAGGCGGGTTGGCAACCGCAGTTAGACCT